TTTAACTCTTGACCCTTGGACAGGCTGATTACCCAGTTTGGCATCCTGTGACTTTTGGAACGTCTCTAGACTATGCATTGCTGCATTGTTTACCAGTTATTTCTGTTTTCTTTTATATACCTAAATTGTGGTAAATATTCTTGCTTTTAAAATATTGTTTGTATGTGTGCGTCAACAACTTTGAAACAGATTAGAAATAAGGAACTTTTAAAAAGCTATATAAGAGTTAAAGTTATAAACAAATTAAATGATCAGAAAAGATCAGAATATTAGGTCCTTTGCTATAAGCTTTTGGAAAAAAATATAAACAAATAGCATCTTAGTGGGAATTAAATTGTTTAGTCTGTCTTCAGTTATACGAGAAATTTGAACTTTTGTGATTTCAGAAATAGGACACTAGAGGGGACTAAGGATTCCAGGCAGGAAAAAAAAACGGGGGTGGGGAGGTTTGACTTTTATGTTTGGTCAGCATTACAGATAAAATAACAGAAAATAGGATTACATGTGAAATTTGTAAAGAACAGAAATCAGATCTGTGAAGAATAGGGTCAGAAAACAGGAGCTGCAATGCAACATGTCTGCTTCTATGGATATATTATTTCCAAGAGTTGTTCAAGAAGAAATAACAATATGAAAGAGAATACCTTGGAAGGTCTACAGGATAAAAAGCTGAAACAAACTTTACCTGATGCAGAACTATTAGAATATAAAGAAATATTGAAATACTGGAAAATAAAAACTAATGTGAATTATAAAACAGAGATGACATCTTAAGTGGGAATGCCAATTAAAAGCCAAGAGAATAACCTGGACTTCTTAATGGATTTATAAAAGACTTGAAGAAGCCTTTGAAACAGAAAAAAGGAAATTGAAGAGTGATCAAATCCTATGACATCTGAATGAATTAAAGACTCTTAGAAACAAAAGGAAGGAGTACATAGTTGGCTTGTTTGACCCAGGTTAAAACAATATAATTCTAAATGTAAATCTGGGAATCTTCTAAAATGTGTATTTTACTGCCACCAGGACTGAAATGCTAATGAGTTATGGATTTGTGTATTAATAATGGATGGGTTAAGGGAAGAAGATATACTTCTATGTAACCTTATGAGGGTAAAGAATGACTAAATTTGCTTGTACTTGTGATAAAGATTGGAAATCGCTTATTTAAATATTTCTCTTCTCCTTTTCTTTTTTTGTACATTCTATTCTTCCTTTTTCTTTCACAGTTTATATCATCATTATTTCTTAAAAGAATCAATAAATGTTTTAAAAAATATCTTATGACTTCTTAAAGAAATTGCTTGGGGAACTTTATGAGACACCGATGAGCAGTCCTTCTGACGCTTTACTTGTTTTCTGGAAGAAGAAGGAAGCTGTAGCCTTGGATAGTTTGTACCTATCAGTCTCTCCCTACTTGCTGATCCGAAGGGACTTCTTGGTTTACAGAAGTATTCCAGGAGATGAAGCAGAAGAGACCCTTAGAACACAGCTGGTGGAAAAGAAGGAAGGAATCCAACAGATTCCAGGTTAGAACGTATCTGTACCTATGGCAACTAGACTGGTCAAACAGTATTTCTCAGCTTTTATTATATACAAAGACTGCTTCTGAGTGTGCCTGTTTAAAGTGACCTATATCCCATTTGAGATAGATTTGCTGGAAGACCAATTATAGAACTTCTGAGAGAAATATTCTCTGCATCCGAAGGATTAACCTAGTCCTCAAATTCATTGGGATGCCAACTGGGCCAGAAGTGACTTGTGATATTATCCGGGATGAGATAATATGAGGCTTTAAATAAAAGCTTACTTCAGCACAAGAACTGCACTGATTGCACTTGTAGATTATTTTTGGCAAGACCAGATGTTGTATGATCTTTCAGCAGCTTTCAGTGTCATCAACCACGATACCACTTGGACCAACTCTGAGGGTTGGGAATGAGGAGCATTGTATTACAGTGCCTTTCCTCTTCCTGAAAAAGCAGTTTCAGCTGGTAGTGATGAAGAGGGAGTTGTTGAGTCTGAGATCCTTTGAATATAAGGTGTCACAGGCCTCAGCACTTCACTTCAACATCTACATGAAATTATTAAGGGGAGTTACGTGCGGGCATAGCTTTGCATATTAATAGCAAAGTGAACCGGCACTGTCCTGATTGGTGTCTGGATGAGCTTAAAACTTGAATTTAAAAAAAGAAAAAGCTTTGGTTCAATCCCAGAGACATGGCATGACTTTGGGTGCAAAAGTCATCTGGTTCCAGGAATATTTCCTGGATGGGATTATATCCCTCTGTACTGATTTGATTCATAATCTGGAGGTCTTTCTTGAGCCTCAGTTCCTCCATTTGCACAACTCAGTTTTATGTGACAGTCAAGACCTTTTCTAGAACAGCAGGCTCAACACTCATGTCTTAAGTCATATTGTGTTTGGACCATTGCAATGTATTCTATATGGGGCACTGTACATAGGGCTGTATTTGAAAACCACTTTGAAGCTACAGTTGGGTAGAATGCAGTGGTTGAAATAGCCATTAATGCTTCATATGACACTGCTGTTGTGTTATTTTGGGAGCAACACCAGTTACCAGTTGGCTTCCAAGAACAATTTAAGATGCTGGTTATCACCTTTAGAACTCGATTGAAAATCTGGATATTTGGGGAACCTCCTTCTCCCAATTGGTTCTGTCAATCTGATAAGATTTTGTAGAAAAAAAGCCTATTTCAAGTCCCTTCACTTAAGAATCATCCAAGATGCCCTGGAGTGAACCTTTTCTATTGCCGGCTCTCTTCTAGGAATAATGTTTCATTGAGATCTAGTGAGTCTATACCTGCTGGGTTTCAGAAAGGCCCTAACAAACTGGCTTTTTCAATAGTCCTGGGGAATGAGGATGTTATGAAATACAGGTAGTCCTCAACTTATAGCTATTCATTTAACGATTGTTCGAAGTTATGACACTGAAAAACGTAACATGACAATTTTTCACATGACTGTTGCAGCATCCCCATGGTCACATGATCAGAATTTAGATGCCTGATAACTAATTCATATTTTTGACAGTTGTAGTGTGCCAGGGTCATGTGATCACTATTTGTGACCTTCTGACAAGCAAAGTCAATGGGGAAGCCTGATTCAACAACTACAAAGATTTACGTAACAACTGTGGCAAGAAAGGTCATAAAATGGGGCAAAACTTAAGTTTTACTAAATAAGTTTTGCTTAGCAACAAAAATTTTGGTTCAGTTGTGATCACAAATCAAGGATTACCTATATTCCCTCTTTTAATCTGGAGAGTAATGGGCTTTATTCATCTCTGATATTTTTGTCTTATATTTCCTTACATTTTTATTAGTTTTAAGCTATAGTACACACACATTAAATCACCCATTTCCCATTCTAGCTAACAATTCTCAATGCCACCAACTGCAGGGATTTGTTATATAACAGATACTTGATCTTGTAATGATGTCCGACAATATCTTCTATTGTTTCCGTAGTGTGTTTTACTGGTTCCAATTCCCTCTCTAAGCCATTAAGCTCAAGTGTCTGTGCTATATCTTCTGCAGCAGAGACCAATGCAAAGATTTCCGTTTATATGCAATTTCCTTATCTTCCTTGAACAATCCTTTCATGTTTTTTTGTGTGGGATCATTGCCCAATTGCTTTCCTAAATAAGAACCCTAGCATCATGAGGCATGAAGTCAGAAGAGAGGTAAGAGGCAGGATAGAGATCAACAAATTTCATGCTTGTATGTTATTGTGCTATCTGACAAAAAGAGAAGGGCACTTCAACTAAGGCATTGAGAAGGCATTTTAAGGTGGCATCAGTTACTGGTAAGGAAATGACCTCTGCCATGCTATCTATATCTTTGAAAATTGTTAAAACATTTAAATGGAATTATAACTTTAAAAAATATGGTCATAATATGACCATTGTTTGGTCTAAACAGGATCCATGTCTATCAATGACTGGAGGAACTAACTCCAGTTGTTTAGTATCTATGCACATATTTATTTCTGTGTACCTCACCCTCTTATAAACTATATTATATATATTATAGTAAATGTATGCATGTATTTTCAAGTCAGTCTTGACTCTTGGCAACTGACCAGACCAATTCACATTTTCTTGGCAGCATTTTCGGAAGTGGTTTGCCATTATCTTCTTTCTTCCCAGGGCTGAGAAAGTGACTAGCTCAAAGCTGCCTGAATGGCTTTTAAGCTCAAGGCAGGACTGGGACCTCAGTTTCCCAGTTTGTAACGTAGTAGTGTCTTAAACTACTAACCAAACTAGCTCTCAGTTCGTGGGAAAGCAACACTCTGAACCAATTGTGGTATTTCACAATTTTACAAATTATGGCATGAGTTTTACTGGACACTAGTCGCCTCCATCAGCCACTTGAAGCACAACGCCTCCCCACACACACACACATTTTGTGTCGCCTTAAGGAAGGCAAGGCGGCTTCCTTCTATCAAAGCACACGTACCCCGAAATACTGAGGTGTGCCTTCGTGGTCCCTGTTTAAACGGAGGCAAGGCCCCTTAAGATCCCAAAGCATCCCCGAGGAAATGCAACTGGACGGAGATAAGAAGGAAGCTTTTCTTTGTGCGCTCGACTATTAGGAGTTACGGCTAAATTTCATTCCCGCCCACGAAGGAACGAGGGGTAAAGTTCTCGTCTGAATTGGTCGGTGGGCTCGGGAGCAGATTGGCCGAGGAAGAGGATATCGGATCCACTTTTGCTCCGCAGGCATTTAACTTATGTCACGAGTTTTCGAGGATGCGGAGAGCACGAGCAAGGCACAGAGGGGTCTTCGGTGAAATCTCGACGCCGCCCCCCACTGTCTCCCCCTCCCCTTTAAGGCCGGTGCCATGCGCCCGCGCGCGCTGCCAGGTTACTGTGGCGACGTAGGAAGCCCCTGTTCACTCTCGCGTGCTGTCCCTCCCCGCTTCCCCCCCTCCCACCCAGCTGCCGCTCGCGCTCTTCCTCGCTCCGGCTGCTCCCTCCCATCGCCCAGTCAGCTGCAAACATGGCAGCGGCCGCTCGCAGGCTTCCCTACGCTGCGGTGGCGGCTCTGACGACGAAGCGGAACGGTCACAGGTGAGGGGGCGGGAAGGGTCCCGGTCGGTGGACGGGGAGGCAGCCCGACATCCCTACCAAGGCCTTCTCCCTCTGTTTCGTCCCCGCGGCGGCAACAGTAGCGACTTTCCCCCCCCCCCAGCGTGGAGCGTCTCTGGAGGCGGGTGGTGGTAGAGTGACGGCTCGTCCCCGCCTCCGCTTTTGCAGAGAAAATTGGGGTGAGGGGACCGGGTGTGTGTGGGAGGAGGGGTGGGGGCTTGCCTGTGAGGCCGCGGGAAGAGTACCTGTCCCCCAACGCAGAGCCTTAAGGTCGGGCTTTACTGCCGCCTTTTACTTCTTCGCGTACTTTGGTGGCGACTGCCAGCCCGCCCCTTTTCTCTGGCAAAGGTGTCTCTGAGCACGTACAGACTGCACCCACCCCTTTTGGCGTGGCTGAGTCAGCGGGACCCATATATTTGACCCTCGGGAGAGTCCTTAGGCAGCCATGAGATTATGCTCGGAGGGTGAGGGAAACCTGCTCTGTACGACTAACCCAGCAGGGCAGGCGCTGTGTACTCTGTGCGCGCACTGGGGTTGCGCGTTTCGCTTTTTTTTTTTCTCTCGTGCCCCCCCTGCCTCCCATAGTGGCTTTTCTGGATGTCTGCCCGCACATCTTAGGATCGAACCTGCCTGGCTTCCTTTAGCTGTTTCTCCAGTAAAGCTTAATATCTCTGCAGGCTGGTGGCTGAATAGCAAAGTCATTGCCATTTCACTTGGTTCTTTCTCAAACTTTCCCAGGCATAAATAAGAAGGACCGGTCCACCTTTTACCTCCTCCGTCTCCCTCCCCCCTTCCTCTCCCTCCCGCCTCCACTCATAATGTGGAAGCTCAGCAAGAGCAGTAAAGTCCTCCTGGATGATTCACCAGAGGAAGAAGACAGCCATCGGCAAGAAACGCCATCTCCACCATTGCCAGCAGGCACCTTTTCAGCTCAGGTAAAAGTCACCAGAGTGCTGACTCTGTGGCTCATAGTTCTGCCCTGGTGGTTCTGTCACCTTTTGTTCTTGTTCAAAGAACATACTTTGTCTGCTTTTTCTCTTTCTGGCCTTTACCCAGGCCAAGCATCTTGGCTTTTTTTTTTTTAATAACTCTGATCTGGCATTATGAGTAATCACTTTCTGTTCTCCTTGGATGCCTTAATAGTGAGTCTTGTGGCAAGAAGGAACTGGTATGTGCTACTGCTGTTTATCCTCTGAAAAGCTATTTTCAATCTTTCCCTAATAATGCCCCCACTCGGCGGTGCTAAAGCTCTGCTGCATGATTAAAGAACTTTTGTCTGTGCTTTTGAATGGAGGCGTCCAATTATATTTTTAATTAAACACAATGAGTAAAATCACATTTTATATTGGTAAAACATAACAACAAAATAAGGAGCCATCAAAGAGAACACTGCTGAAATTCTCAGAATTATATTCAAAACAAGGAATCTTAAAACTTGAGGTCAAATTTTGTTGCACTTAAAATCTTCAGGTAAATACTTTTATAGTATTTATAAAAGACTTTTTATAATTCAGATTCTACATAATCTTCATTTTAATAGCACTTGAAGACATGTTTGTGAACACATACATTTTGAACCTGTTCTTTATTTGTGTTCCGTCTTTAAAAATCCTGCAATAGCTTGTGTTAAGATTAAAAGAATATAAGATTTTTACATTATTTTTCCCTACTTTTTCTGAAATGTTAATTAGTTTATGAAAATATAAAATACAGAAATATAAAGAGAAATGAAAAATGGGGAAATAGGGAAGGAAAAGGGAAAGAGGAAAAACTGTTGGAGAAAAGGAAAAGAAAAGAAAAACATTGACTTCTAACTCTCTTTGGCACAGTAAAATAAAGTAATAATATACAACCTCAGCTTTTTACTGTTATATAATAATATATACTAGCCATTTTTACAACAAAAAACTTATCAGCAAAAGCCCAAATCAAAGTTTCATTTTTCCCCACCTCAAGAACAAAGTCTAAAAGCAGTTTCCAAGTAGAAATAAAATTGTGTTCTTTTCTTTAATCAGAGCAGTCAATTTAGTTATCTCTGCTAACCATCAACTTTTGCAGCTATTTGTCCACTGTGGGGATCAAAGAATCCTTCCATTTTTGTCCATAGAGTGTTCTTGCTGGTATCAGCATATATAACATCTAAAGTTTCATTTTAAAAAAAAAACTGTATTAATTATTCATATTACTTTATACTAACATAAGCTCCCTATTGTTTAGCGAAGTAAAGTTTATTTAGTATTCCAACTATAGATGTGCAATTTTAGGTCCTTAAAAGGGAAACATATGTACAATGTCTAATCTTCTCAAAATTGTGTATCATTATTTCAGATGGGCTTGGTCTCAGATTCTATGTGGAATATTGCAGCTTTATATCCATTTATTTCAAAGTCACTCCTTTGAACTTAATGGCAGTTACAATAATGGAACTTTAAAACGTGCTTATTCAGGCTTGCAATGTAAATTATACTTTTCTAGGTTTCTGATAAAATTATATTTTAACAGATAATAGGTTTGTTTATGAAAGGGGAATACTGTACTGTAACAACTTTTATAAAGTAAAATATAGGTCACTTGAATGTGAGCTTAAATATTTTATTAATTTAAACACAATTCATTTAAAATTAAATGAATTAAATGTCACTTGAATTATCTTTAAAAGAGATTAATTTCTGATGAAAATAGAGAAATGTAAAAAATATATTGTCCAAGCAATTATGCAGAACATTTAGTGATGATTTAAGATTATAATTTTAAAACATATAATAAAACATCATAAATTACTTATTGCCATATTAAAAATTCATAAATATATTCCATCCTTCCGAGGTCAGTAAAATGAGGACCCAGATTGTTGGTGACAATAAACTGACTCTGTAAACCGCTTAGAGAGGGCTGGAAAGCACTGCGAAGCAGTATATAAGTCTTAAGTGCTATTGATATTAGCAGTTGGTAAATAATATACCTGAATAAATTATAATTACAATAGAAGTAAGTTCTCAGATTTTTTGTAGTTGGAGTCTGTTCAGTGCAAGCAACATATTATCCCAAATTACTGTTTTATTAGTAAGAAATAGGCTCATCTTATTTTGCAAAAAGCAGTTATTTTGTCATCTTCATGGCACTTTTGATGAAGTATTGATGTCCTTGCTCATTTCACCATGTGCTTTACCTAAGTGCAAATATTATTAACCTTGCATTCTGAGCAAATGAGGTGCTTGTTTTCCTTAGTTAAATGAAGACTAGGAAACAGCAGTGGAAAACTGAAAGATACCTTACAGCACCACTTTGAGAGACCTGCACCATTTTTATACTTCCAGCATAAAAGACCCAGTAATGCAATGTAATTATTAACTTTAACTTGGTCATAACTTTATTAAATATAACAGCTTTGCCTGAAACAATATTCCAAGCTTTTAAAAAAACTGGAAAAGTTCAACCTTGGCTTTAATTTGTAACAAATAACTTGTTTGTTTGTTTGTTTTCCTACCTCCCTACCGTAAAGAGCTCTAGTATTATCTCTACCCATGCTCAAATTTTTTTAGCAACATGTCGTACAGTTTTCTGAGAGATGTAAGATATTAGCTCTATTATTATAACAAGAAATAGTCTGTTTCTGAATGTTGACGTAAGCCCTTCCCTATTTAGGGATAGTTACAGGCTATGAGGTCTAACGTGATTTTCCTGTATTAATTTGTGCTTTAAATGCTACCTGTAACTTAGTGTTTGCTTTCTTGTATTCATGAATTGCTAAGTACTCTAAAGCATTCAGAAAAACATCTATATAGAGACATACAGTCTCATGTGAGTCAAGTTTGACTTGTATTGACTTCATGAACAGGCCTATAGTGTTCATGCAACAATATGGAGTATCCATCTAAAAAGGATACCCACTTTAACTGAATTGCATGGTTTTTCTCCCAAATGTGATAGCTACTGACTCTTTCCTGGTTGGCCTATTATTCCCTCTGTTGATCACGTGCCTTTAGGTGGGTTGTAATTGAGCATGGATATGTTTACGTAAAACATTTTAGTCTTTTTTGTTTAGGCAGTGGTGGTAGCACCTCAAAAAGCTCAGCTTTCCTGCTGAGGAAATTGAGGCCATCCAAAGAACAGGTGAATATTTGGTCACTGCACACGGGAAGCATTCATGTTTGACCAGCCTGATGATTTATACATTTTAGTTGTGATTGAGTTTCTTCCGGATACGTGGCTGTGGTTTGACACTGGCTACATATATAATATTGCATTTGAGTAATAGAGGATCTAGGAGCCTAAAGACTGATCATGTCCATCAAGGCCACAAGCGCTCTTATAAAAGTAATAGAGTTGGTAAGGAATTTTTTTCAATGTTATTAGTTTCCTAAAGCTATATTTTTTATATTTTATGTACAGATATTTCTGTCATATCAACTCTGTAGTGACACACTTTCAGTTTCTGAGAGATTAAAGGGTGGGATCAAATGCCCAATTGACACTATAGTTAGAAAGAAATTGACCCTGATTTTATGAAAGGAGGTACCATTAACATTGTTAGGGACCTTGTTCCTGTTATATGTCCTTATTGAAAGTGGATTTGGGAGTATTAAAGGCATGGAATTTTTTCTGTATTGTTTGCCTGCTGATCTCAATATGCCTGGTTTGAATAACCATGCAATTTTATAAGCTTTTTTTTACATGCTAATAGTAACATAAACCTACTTTTTTACTTTTCCAATGTACATTTTTTTAAAAATATATCTGATTTTTCATTTATTTGCTCAGAACACCTATATATGGCCCAATTTCCTTGTTGTTCAGCATATTTATGAAATTTATTACAGTAATTCTACTTTTTATTAAACCTTTTCATCCTCTTTACTATCTTCCTTAATGCATTTAAATCATACTATAATTTAATGGCCTCAGCTTTATGAGAATGGATTCTTTCTGAGAGGTCATATACTCCAATATTCTTGTCCTTAGTTTTGATTAAGTCTTGTTCCTTTTTGGAACTATTTCTTCTGTCTTCTAACAAAGGCTCATTAGATATCTGTCATCTTAAACTTCCTTAATATGAAGATTGGATTTTATCCCATTTTAAGCCACTTTTTCTCTTGTAATGGCTAAAGTTTAAGACTATTCTCATGTGAGATGAATTTTTGAACTCTTTGATCAAAAACATAGTCATTTTAATAAATTGAAGACACATGCTTTGTGTGCAATCCTGCATGTTGTAAGCATTTCCTTCAAAGGATTTGCACAGTCACAGTACATACAATTAGAACCTGGATGCATAGTTGCATGCACAGCTGCAGTAATTCAATAGAGATCTACTGTAGCAGTTTCTGTGGGACTTTTTCATATTCTTGTATGCACTGGAATGAAGAATTACAGGATTGCTATCTATTCTTTTCTCATATTGGACATAACAACATTAACTCAGTAAGATTGTAGCTGTTTCATTTGTGCTTGGTTCAGAGTTTCTTGTTAATGAATCATATCTATAGAATTCTACTTGTATACCATTTGTGTTGCTAAACTTAACAAAAATATAAAACGTTGAGATACCTCCCCCCCCCCCCCATTTCAGCCTGCCATAAACTGTCAGTGATCTGTCAAACATGAATAACTGCACTGACAGGAAAATTTTTTTTTAAAAAAAACTCAGTCTTGTAAGTATTAAAACTAATTAAAAGTATAAAAATTATAATTCTAAAGATGGACTGCTAAATTAATAAAAGGAAAAATAAAATGACCCGAAATATTCTTTGGAGGGTCAGCATTTTGCCCCCAACAATCTGAATGGGAGGCTGAATCAACCTTGAGCCGGTCAGGATTGAACTCCTAGCTGTGGGCAGAGTTAGCCTGCATTCTAACCACTGTGCTATCACTGCACCACCACGGCTCCTAAAATGATTACACTTAGATTTTACATTAATTGAAGAAACCTTAGTAT